GGAGAGGCTGAGGGAGCTGGGCCTGTTCAGCCTGGAGAAGAGAAGGCTGAGAGGGGACCTGAGTAGTGTCTATAAGTACTTCAAGGGAGGCAGTGAGGAGGATGGTGCTGGGCTCTTTTCACTGGTGGCCACCGACTGAACTAGAGGAAATGGCCAGGGACTGAAGCATCAGAAGTTCCACAGGAACTTAAGGAAAAAATTTTTAACAGTGAGGGTGACAGAGCGCTGGAACAGGCTGCCCAGAGAGGTTGTGGAGTCTCTTTCTCTGGAGATCTTCCAAACCTGCTTGGATGCCACCCTGTGCAACGTGCTCTAGGTGACCCTGCGGGTGCAGGGGGGTTGGACTAGATGATCTCTAGAGGTCCCTTCCAACCTCAACCATTCTGTGATTCTTAGAAATTTCAGGGGCATCTTAGTAACATAGCCATTAATGACAGTAGTTGCTGAAATTCTTAAATATGGGAAATTAAGGGGAAAAAATCATGCTAATTTTATGTTTCAAGGGATTAGATTCATTATGTCAACTTAAGAGATCCTAATGTGATTCTGAATAACTCAGTGAGGACATCTGCTTTAAAGGGAGATGATGATATTTCTCAAAGGGTACTGCAGAACTGAACTGAAAACAATACACAAAAACCATGACGGTTTGTGTCAAACACTCAATAGATTTGTACTGTTATAAAAATACATATTTCAAATTTCAAAATGTCTGACTGAAACTATGCCTTAGAATATTATATAAAAAGTGATTGTTGTTGAAGATAAATTTCTTTGAGAAACTTTTAGCCAACACAATCTGTTTAGTTATGCAGCACTGACCAAATAGTTCGTTTAAGTTTCCACTGGATAGTAATATTGGATGTTAGCTTTCTCATGGAGATGTAGCTGGGATCAGAATTTGTCCTTCCTAGTTTGATGCTTAGGAAACCAGAGAAAACATATAAATTTCTAAACTGGATAAATTTGGTCCGGAAATCATTGAGGGAATGAATAATGATGATTTTTTTAAAATTGCATTTGGGAACAAAAATACTCTGCAATCTAATTACTCATTCCTTAGGCCAGTATGATCTCTGGTTCAAAACTTTTTATTTTGATTTTGAGTAGAAAAAATGATTTAATTTGAGCCTAGACTGGCTATAGTTTATATCCTAGCATGTATGATATCCTCTTTCCTATGCTTCTCAGTAAGCTGGGATTTTTGAAAGGACTATTACAATTCTGTGTAAGTGCTTGGAGCCAGTTTGCTTAGAAACAACCCTATATACAGTCTTATCTCTTAAAACTCAAGGAGAGTGGGATAGAGACACACACACACAGATGATAGGGTTGTTATCAACAGGTTCACAGGAATAATAAAATCTGCTGATCTAGAATGTAATGTTTTGGAGCCATTTTCATCTTCACAGCAAGTTCTGTATTATATATTTTATTTGTTAGCCCAGTTATCCTGTTGCATTAGAGAATGGAGAATTGGATGAACGCCTGGATGAAACAATATATCCTCCTCAATTTATGTTAAATCTTAGCACCTCTACTCTTCAAGGCCCAAGATTCTTTTTGAAAATAGCAAAGACTTCCTCCTCACCCCCTAGATGTCTTATTTCATCAAAGCTCTGTTTCTCTGTACAACATTTGTCCAGCTTTCTTCACTGTTCAGTTCTGCTAGTTTATTTCGGTCCCGACTGAAAACTGATTGTATTTACCTCTTGTGGTACATATGCACTGTCTGACTCAGAGGCTGAGGTTTCAACTTTCTCTCTTTACACTGAATTCCTTACAATATGTATTTTGGCAAAATAGAATATCCTTAAGCAATTAGATCATCAAGTCTCATTGGAAATTGCTGCGTTGGATGGATAAAACAATCGCTGAACTGGAACTTGAGCACCTACTATAGCCACAGTTTAGATAATTGAAGAAATTATCTCAGTGTCCTCTCATGAAAGGAAAGGAGGAAAAATATTTTGATCTGTTCTGCTTTCCTTTGTTTAAAAAGACAAATGCTCATTAATTTGGTATTTTGAAGTGTTGCTTTTTTGCCAGTTTAAAGCAGTTTTTGCAGTTGGATGAATTGTTAGAGCAATGCCATTACAGAATTTTATACTATTGTTTTAATGTGTTCACTTGTTTTACAGTACATTTGTACAACAGCATTTTGCTTTAATTTGAAAATGCATTATTTTGTGCTATGAAGATGTAAATCTTGTACCTATTAATGAAAATGCTCTTTGTTTCTAGCTTCTCGGAAAAGACATAAAAAGGATAGAGATGCAGCCTGGGAATATGAAGAACATGACAGAAGAAGTTCTGGTGATCATAGGAGAAGCAGTCACTACCATGAAGGAAGGAGGACTTCTGGTAGCAGCCGTTACCGTAATCGCAGTCCTGATGACTCTGATATGGATGATTATTCTCCTCCTCCGAGCCTCAGTGAGGGTAACTCATCAGTATAAAAGCTTTCTTCATTCCATAATACTAATGCAATATTAAAGTATATGTTAAGCATTTTAAAATAAACATCTTTGCACGCATTATTTAATATGAGTATAAGAAATGTTAAAAAAAATCAATTTTTAAAAGTATTATTTGTTTCATTATTGTTTCATTCTTTAATTAGTGGCTAGAAAAATGAAGAAAAAAGAAAAACAAAAGAGGAGGAAAGCTTATGAACCTAAACTAACACCTGAAGGTAATCTTTTGAAGTTGTATTTTCTTTTTACAGTTTGTATTTTCTTTTTCATAGATAACTATATATATATATATATATATATGCTTCTTTTTTTTTTTTCCCCCAAAAATGATGGTTTTTTCTCTTTTCAATTGGTGTGATTTAATTGTTTGTGGTACATACTAGGGTATGCAGTGTTTATACCTGTTTGGCTTCCACCTTGAGTAGATTCCTTTACTTTTCTGTTGTGCTTGCTGCTGCAGGAAGAAAATTGTTTTTCCTGCATAATCCAAAATAAACATAAGTATTAAAAGGACAAATAATTTTCTACCTGGGTGGAAAGGGTGCCTCTGCAATGTCATTAGAGTGTTACCTTCTTGTACTCATATCTTTGCAATCAACACTAATATAACATGGTTTTCTTGTCCATAGTATCTGGAAGACACATAATTTTGCATATGCTGTGGGCTTTGCCCTAACAGAGCATGGTTGTTCTACTCGAGCACCAGAGTACTTGCGTACTCATGGCCGAGACACTGAGTCTCGGTAATACTCCTTGTCCACTTTAACTCAAGCAAAAGTCATCATCATCAGTCTTGACTAAATGGAACTATGAGCTGATAGCTATTTGGAAAATCAGATCTTCAGTAGGTCTTCTTCAGTTGGCTTTTTCATTTTGGCTATGAAACACTGCTTTCTTTGATGTCTTATTAGAAAGATGATTATTAATTTTCTTTACCTTTTATTTTTTTAAAGGTGATGATGATGAGATTCCACAGGAATTGCTACTGGGAAAACATCAGCTTAGTGAGCTGGGTAGCGAATCTGCAAAAATTAAGGCAATGGGCATTATGGACAAGGTATATCTTTATAGCCTCTAACACTTTTTGAATATTTAGTTTTGTTTAACATATGGAAAGCATTTGTGCCCTGTTGTGACATTCCACCCACTTCAGGTGTGTGTGATCGATACCATAAATAACATTCCACCTTCTTCAGGTGTGAATGTGACTGATACTGTAAACAGTCATCCTTCTGCTGATTTGGTGGAAATTATTGCACCTTGTTACTTCTACTGAATGTCTTTACTTCTCGATACTTTTACTGGAGCTGAGACATTGTTTTGAATGCATCGATGCAGTGTCAGAGCACCATATATCATGGTATGGGGTACCTGGCTTTGCAGTGAAATAGGTATTAAGATAAATTGCATGATCTATTAAGGCACCTGAGTTCTCAGCAATATCACACATGCCTGAGCTGTAAACCTTAAAATAGTTTTCCCCAAAGCACAACAAGCTGTAGCGCTTCAGTGTGGGGGAAAATGGAGCCTGCTGGCAAAGTCAATCCTTCCCTGCACACCACCCAACTCCACACCACTCCTTCCAATGTAGGCCAGCAGTGTGAAGGTTTTATGGCTCCAAGTGAGCATAAGAATCATTTTCTATAGGATGCATATTTCTTTGTCATACTCTTACGGACTTCACTTCAAGGGATTTTTTTTCTGTCGTTGCAAATTGTTGGTATCACATCTCTAGAAACAACGTTTTTGCGCTCTTTATCTTTCTAGAACACTTGCTTTGGGCAGTTTTACATTAAACTCTGATTATGCTTGGCCATGCCCGCTTACTATTTCTGTGAATCGTCCATGAAGCCACTGAATGACTGACTTTTTTAATCCAAGATTAAGATAATCTTCAACCTCCCAACCTTCCTTGTAGCATGTTTTAAAAAATATATGCTGTTGACAGGTGTTTTTAAATATTTTTTTTAATGGATTTTGCTCTTTGGAATTTTATTGCTGAATATATTTCACTATTTTATCAGCATTCTCAGTCATTGCTATGATATAAACTGGGCAAGCCAAGATCCAATCCTTGTTTCAAAGTGTGCACAATTTGCATGTAATGCCAGACTTGCATACCATATTCTATTTTTCACTTATGCAAATGTTTTAAAATAATTTGCAAACCTTTATGTTCCTAATGCTGTTTAATGGATTTGTTTTCTTGTTTTAGCTCTCAACAGATAAAACAGTAAAGGTCCTGAATATTTTGGAGAAGAATATTCAAGATGGATCAAAGCTTTCGACATTACTTAACCATGTGAGTTTCAAACTGCATCACTTCACATTATTCCAATCCCATTCACTTTCAAGTGGGAAGTGGGTGTGTGTAAGGAATTTCTGATTTAACAGGCTTGTGATGCAGTGTGTCAAATTTTAGTTTTTGAGACTGATGAATACTCTTTTCAGTTTCTGTAGTAAACATATTTTACTCTAGTATACAGCTAACAAGCAGATGTATTGAGAACAATCAAGTTTTAAATATTATACTGTCTTCCAGATATATTAAAGGTAACTGGTATAAGCTATAGCAAGTCGAAATTTCTTTGCTACATGTTCATAAAACTTTCCTTACAAAGTAGAAGAAAGCATGGCTTTTGTGTAGAACATGTTCTTCCCTGTAGCATCGAGAATGGTGAAGGTGCTGCAGTTGGGTCTGCTCTTACACTTCAAAGTATCATATCAGCATAAACAAAACTAACAAGTTTACTTTTTTAGATTTTTTTTTCCCTCTGGTATACTTAAAACTATATTTGGGTTTGAAGTTTCAGTGAAGAAGAAATATGATATTTATTTATTTTTATACATTCTAGTCAATACAATATTCTATCCAGAGTTTTAGCCAAAAAATTTACTGGTATGCAGAAGCAGAGAATAGTTATGAATATTGGGAAAGAAGCATTTGAACTTGAAAATGAGAACAATTGATACATTTGTACTTTAGTGTTTTCATCTAGATATTTTGTTCTCTTTGAAGTTTGAGAATACAGTTCTGAATGTGTTTAGTAACATAAAAAATAAGTGGAAAAGCAATGCTTGTTTTCTTATTCTACTTCAATATAATTGAAACTTTATGAAGATGCTTTTTAAGCATTTTCTTCTTTTTAACCTTCTGTAATAAGGTCCGAAAGTTAATGAAATAGTCTTGATTGCAGCTCAGAGACAAAACTTCAATTAAAGAGTGAGCAATAATTAGCCAAATAAATAAAGACTGGTGAAGTCTCTGGTTACATTCTTTTACAAAGGGTATTTATTTAAAGTGCGGTGAATATGTCCTGCCTTCATGTCAGGGTATTATTCAAAGGCAGAATGGCTTGCGGGATCATTTATTCCTAATATTAATGAGCAAAGAAGTAGTAAAGTTTTAAAACCACTTTTTTAAGCCCCTTTCAGGATTATATAGGGATAAATGGTTTAAAGTTGTCTCCACTGCAAAGTGGAGAAAATTATATTCTCATCTATTTTGTAGAACTGTAGCAATCTCTTTGTGTAGGAGTTCCCTCTTGTGGCAGAAAGTACATTAGCCTTATGTGGAGAAAGTGGAAATCTTTCTTCGTAGTGCTCACTCACAATGTTCAGAAAACTTGTTAGTGTTTTACTGGAAGAATACAGTGAAATATTGAGGACTTGTATTTTAGAAAGGACATTCCAGAAACATTTTGCTAAGTTAATTTATAGAACAAACTGCTTTTTGTTCATAAATGCAATAAAATATCTCGTATGTGCTTGTATGTATGTATACTAAAAATATTATTGTTATATATTAATTACTTGGCAGAAAGATTAAAAAATAGACTTTTTTCTCACATTACCTTATTTTTCTTGCCCGTTATAGAACAATGACACTGAAGATGAAGAGAGGTTATGGAGAGATCTTATTATGGAAAGAGTGACAAAGTCTGCTGATGCTTGTCTCACAGCTATCAATATTATGACCTCACCAAATATGCCTAAAGCTGTATATATCGAGGATGTAATAGAGAGAGTTATTCAGTACACAAAATTTCACTTGCAGAACACTCTCTATCCTCAGTATGACCCTGTGTATAGAGTGGATCCTCATGGAGGTTAGTATGTTAGGAGATCTAAAAAAAAAAATGTATACATCATCCTATGCTTATACAAGTGATAGGACTTTCCTAAATGCTGTGAGTTTTTTTGTTTATAAATCTTATACTGACAATTCTTTCCCATAATGTCCAGCATAATGAATTGATGCTTTACGTAATTTTTGAAGGGTGATGGAAAATGTAGAGTAGAATAGCAATGAATGGAATGTTTTCTCTGAATAATTTGTACAAAGGTCGTGACTTACTGCAAGAACAGCAGTTATAATCATACATTTATCTGTGTATACATTTTATAGATGCGAATGAGTTTGTAGTCAGAATCGTCATGTACATGGTGATTTACTTCAGTGAAAATTATTTAGCCTCGGGCAATTGTTTTTTTGGATTTTGGTTTTATTTTAATAAGATCTTTTTTTCTGATGTAACCTTCAGATGTAGGTTCCTAAATATTGGATCCAGAATTTAGAAAACCATTATGAAAAATTAATCTGTCAAATGAAGTTGTTGTTTTCCAATTGGTGCTACTAGATAATTCTTTTTAACTGTAAACTGTATTTATAAAGTTGTAATCCTAGAGTTTGCTGGGGAACTTCTTTGATAAAATGATCACCTTTCTAATTAAAACATTTAAAAATAATGATGAAAATATATTTTTTTCTAGGTGGTGTTTTAAGTTCAAAAGCAAAGCGTGCCAAGTGTTCCACCCACAAGCAAAGGGTTATAGTGATGTTGTATAATAAAGTTTGTGACATTGTCAGCAGTTTGTCAGAGTTGCTAGAGATACAGCTTCTTACTGATACAACTATTCTTCAGGTAAATTTTAACAGTGTGTTTGTTTTTTCCCCACAGAGGGACCTTAAAGTGTGGTTGCCTCAATGACACGTGAACTTAGAACTGACTTTTTCGGTGTTTCACATCAGACTGGTTTATGTTGTGCACTACATTATCCCAAGGAGAAAAGCATATAATGTTCAAATCTGGCTTTGTTGTACACTTTGAAGTTTAACACAGTTGTATTCAGATATGCTTTAATAACTTGATTTGCAAATAATTGGAAGTAACACATATTGTGACAGGGCATATACCTTATCTGGTGAACATATAGCCTGCTTTGTTAAACTGCATAGATATCAATTTGTTAGACCATTTACCTACCCTAATTTATTTCTGTTGATAGGTATCATCCATGGGAATAACACCATTCTTCGTAGAAAATGTCAGTGAACTACAGTTATGTGCCATCAAATTAGTAACTGCAGTAAGTATTTTTAGAGATTTCATGTTCCTATATTTCATGCATATTTTGTACTTCTGAGAGTTTTCATGGCATTTACATACACTGTATTTTTGCTGGTTTGCTAGGAACAGTGTTCCTGCAAATGTACCTGAGCTGCTCTGATTTGCAAAGTACCTTATAGTAGCAAATAGTGTACTTAACCAAAATTAATTTAATTATGTGATTTAAAATGTAAGTAAAATCCCCGTACTCTCATCTGTCCTTTCTTATCTTGAAATATCTTAGCAATATGGTTTTCCTTATTTCCTTTACCATTATTTAAGTATGTCACTGACATTTCAAAGAATATACAGCATTTTAAATAGAAATTGGGTCAGTTAACGATTTAAAAAATCAGTATTTGAAAAACAATTTTTATGTATTTTTTTCTCAAGATTTGCTTTCTGTGAAAAGCAAAGTAATGCATTGAAAATGAGATATGTAGTATTATTTTAAATGCCGTTTTAAGTGCATGTTAATATATATATAATTTTTGATATAAACTCAACAATAATGTTCTATTGTATTTAACATTAAATAATATTTATCAATCCGGTGGCTGTTAAATTAGGTGTTCTCCAGGTATGAAAAACACAGGCAGTTAATACTGGAAGAAATTTTCACTTCCCTGGCAAGACTACCAACTAGCAAGAGGAGTTTGAGAAACTTCAGGTAATTACTAACATAGATTGCTAATTTGGTAGCATTTACAGTTCAGTATTAATTTCTTATAAAATTTGTAACTTCATAGCAGTTTTTTAGCAGCTTATGTTTCAAAACCTGCATAATGAGAACACAGCTGTCTGATAAATGCATTTCAATTTGTCCTGTAATAATCCCTTTTACTTATTTATGCGTATTTATGCTTAGTTACAAAAAAAGTGAAATATATGTTATTATTACTACTTTTCTCACTAAACTTGTGAGTGTAATGCTAGTGTGTATCCAGAGTTTCTTTTATTGGAAAATTCTTTGATTAAATGGAGATAAATCATTTCTTCATTGCTAAACCCTTATATGAAATTTCTCTCGAATTTTTTTGAGGACAGACAATCTCAGAGCACTCTTGCCAGGGAATCAAGCCAGTACTCCTTTGGTTTAGTTTCATTGAGAAACTATTTAATTTGTTTAGTTAAACATTTGAAAACATTTGTTGTTGCTGCGGTTAATTTAGTTCACTGCTTACATACATTCTTCCCTGGGAGTCAGAAACACTGTCAGTGCAGAAATCTGTCCCATCCAGGATGGATGAACAGGAAATATCCAGAAAAAGAAGCACTGAGACATTGAGCTGAGTTCAGCTGCCCTAATGTTAGTGTGAATGCTTCTGTCTTGGGTTTCCTGTTTTGGCTGTAGACATCAGAGACACCTAACGAATAGGAAGGTGGTAGTCACAGGAGTAGGAGCTGGTGGGCTCCCTCCTTGAGGCAAAACTCGAGTGTTTATCCATAGAATCCTGGGTCTGTTATCTTCCCTATTTGTGGCTACCCTAATGAAGGGTATGGCTTAGAAAAAAATTGGTATGAAGAGATTTACTATCCAGGAGTATAGTAAAAATACCTTGATAAACCTAAAGACTTGTGGTATCTGTTTGTTGTGCAGTGACTTTTTGGATAGCTTGGTGGTAGTGGTGTCAGAGATTGTGTCACCCTTTCATGCTGTCACCTGCCCCAGGTGCTGTCAAGATTTGGACAGAGCGAGATAAACACAGCTCTGTTTGTCAAGTTGCCTTGCTTGGAAGAGGGAAAATCTAGCATGCAGGGTATTCATGCTGGTCCCACTTAACTAAAGACACTCTTGCACACTGAAGTTTATAGTCTTCTGCACATGAAATATTATCTTAGCTGTAACTTTGTAGAAGTCTGTTGTGGTGACTGTTTTGTCTGGCTTAAATGCCTTCACATTCCACATGTTAAATAATACATAAATTATTATAGGATCTGTTTGGCGTGTTTTTTTTTTCTGCTGTGCAGAAAGCTGCTGTGGAATTATACAAAGTAAGCCTGCCAGCAAGTGCCTTAGCATGTAGATGTTTAACGTATTAAATGTTTCTGTAGGCCTTGACTTGCTGAGTTTCACAGGGCTTCAGGTAGCCATTGGGGGGCAGTTTCAGTTTCTCTCTCTTGAGGGTAATGCTGTTTTTGTTGCTCGGAGTCTTTCACTGCACATAGAAGAAGCAAATAATCTGTGTTTTAGACAGTTGGTTTCTTGCTATGATAATAATTTTAGAAAGATATTATTTAGGACCAAAAAAATTATTTTACTTTTTTTAGCATTAATATTATCATATTCATATTAACAGGTTAAACAGCAGTGACACTGATGGAGAGCCGATGTATATTCAGATGGTAACAGCGCTAGTTCTGCAGCTTATTCAATGTGTTGTGCACTTACCATCAGCAGAAAAAGATTCTAATTCAGAGGAGGAATCAAACAAAAAAGTAAGAAAGCCATGTTTAAACAGCCAGGACACTCTTCTGTGCAGAAACATCTTTGTTTTATGTCTTATGATGGTGCTGTAGTAATCAAGTGATGTATTTGGATGCCTGTCATAATTTTTTGATGCATGAAAAATGCTGATATGTAAGTCACATTGCTAAGTATGTTAAAGTGTTAAACAAATGAATTTTCTTATTTTTAGGTGGATCGAGATGTGGTTATTACTAACTCATATGAAACAGCCATGAGAACAGCACAAAACTTCCTTTCTATTTTCCTTAAGAAGTAAGTATTGTTATAATATTCTTTACTAAATTAATAAAACAAACTCGGGAAAGTCTGTCACAGCTTCAGACAAAACTGATCACAACGATAAATGCCCACTAATACAGATATTTGTAGCTATGCTTTTTATAGATCCCTAAGGAGTGGGAAGGGGAGTGTCACACAGACAGGGCAATCAGTACCACACAGCCAAAGTCAGATAGCATCCAGCAGGAGTATGGTAGTGGGGAAGCGAGGGTAGGACATGCTCACAGAGGGTCCTCTTTCACCCCTCCTGGGAAACCTGCAGGCTCAGTTACTTCCCTGAAATGCCTGTACACCAATGCGCGAAGCATGGGGAATAAGCAGGATAAACTGGAGATCTGTGTGCGGTCCCAGCATCATGATCTCATTGGAATCACAGAGACGTGGTGGGAAAGCTCACACGACTGGAGCGCTGCCATGGAAGGCTATGTGCTCTTTAGGAAGGACAGGCTGGGAAGGCTAGGTGGTGGAGTTGCTCTTTATGTGAGAGAGC